GTCATGCATTTTCTCTGCAGCATATAAATTTAAGAGATTATACCTGTCTGACATCTCAAGCAAGTACATTGTGGATAGAGCTAGTGCACACTGGTTACAGTCTCTGTCATTACTTAGTCTCAAACCCCTTTTTAGTTGACTTGACTTGATTAAGTAGGTGCTGACTACAGGCCTGACAGCACCCACATCTAAACAGGGTGACATGAGGCTCCTCCGATTACAGATTTTATCCACAACCCCGCCAGAAAGCTCAGCAACAAAAATCCCAGTGTACCATTTAACCCCACAAACACACACACAATGTCACTACTTAACTCAACTAATCACACACACACACACACACACACACACACACACACACACACACACACACACACACCATCTTATCAACCCTACCAGGGGTTTACACCCAGTTCACAACATTCGACCCCATAATTTGGGAGCTGTTACTCTTTAATGACCCAATGAATTCTTAAAGTTTATTTTCAGCATATCTAAGTGCTTTAAAATTCCTCCAAATGAAACTGACACGCTACAACCTTCTGTTAAACAACCCTGCAGCTTCTGAGGAGCGGTTTAACAGCCATATAAAAGCACATGCAGGCAACTCTTTTAATGACAACACCCTAAGCTAAGCATCTCTGTTTACACATTGTATAATGTACTCAACCTCAGTACAAGTGAAGGCAAGCTCTGCTATTTGTGCTGCGTGAGATAATGTCTTTTCCACACACAAGGATGTCTCTCCCACACAGTGCCCTGCCCTTATACATCACCACTGTACATAAACAGTGGAATTTATTGTGGGGAAACTCTATCATACTTGTATACCAGTATTTTCATCTTCACAAAACAGATTCCCAGGCACGCTATGGGAAGAATTCCACTTTTTTCAGGCTGGCTGTTTAATTCCCACCTCACAATGACCTACAGGTTTGGAATAAAACTATTTTGCAGACCTTTGGAGTGGGATGTTAATCAGGGAGGGGCATTTTCACAGAAACATCTTCCAAATTTCTCTCCATTTCATTACTTTACAGTAGCACTTAGAGCTTATTTAACTCAGAAAGTTAAGCAGCAAGGATGACCAATTTGTTTCAACTCACACTCATGATGTTTCCCTGCTATATTTTAGGAAATACAGAGGTGAAAAATGAGCAGTGGTGTAAAGAAATATTTACTCAAGTGCTGTACAATTTTACTTGGAATGTACTATTTCCATGTTATGTTACTTTATACATCTACGTCACCACATTTCAGAGGGAAACATTTTCGTTTCTTTAGTTTAGTTACTTTAGTTCTAGTACTTGAAGATCAAACCTGTGCTTCCCAACCTTTTGACCCCTTATGAAACAGCACATGTCTGTGAGTTGTTAGTAGTTTCCCCTTTAAGCTTCTCAGATGGTTTCATTTAAATAACTGTTTGAGGCCAAAAGAGATAAAACTCTCCAATATTTCACAAAAAAAGCAAAAATAAGAGAAGACTCAAAGACTCATTAATCCTCATATTACCACTCAGATTTATCTTTTGATTCTTTGGAGTGGCACAACATCAAGGTATTCTCCAAACTTAACTTTATATAAAGTAGTTAAAACTAGCTCCACCTCAACCAGCTGCAACAGTAAAATACTATTTACAAATTGATGCATCAGTAAAAATCTTATAATGCAGTATATAATGGCATGTCAGTCACTGGGGAGTACTTTAAATTTTGACACTTTAAGTACACGTTGCTGATAATACTACAGTATTGGGGGGGCAGTAAAAAAAAGTACCTTTCCAACCAGAAAGCAGTCATCACCAGACAGTGGGACAGATACTGCAGGCAGATAGATATCAATAGGCTTGCCATTCGTGACTCTCTGGAAACGACCCCTTACGAGGCTTGCAACTTGGAGAGCATACACATCCTGCAGTCTCATCAGCCCCTTAGCGGCCCCCTGGAGGTCTTCTAGTTTGGGCAGACCGGCCTCTTCCTTCTCGTAACTGGACCTGAGGGCTGGACATAAGAGGGCCAAAAGGTGAACTGGGGCGGGGGGTTGGGTGTGTTTAGTTATCACCACCAGATGTGTCTGTAAAGAAAGCAATGAGCCAACCTTGTGTGTTCTCCAGGGCTTCGTTGCTGTAGACTACATTCAGCCACTCTGAATGCAGCCGCTTGATCAGGGTGAATGCCACCAGCGGGTTTGCCATTGCAGTCCCCGAGCCTTTGTACAGTTCAGTGTGCAGTTCTGATACTTTGGCATAAAAGCTGAGGGAAAGAACTGTTGTTACAAAAAGAAAGAACAGGCCAAGTGCTTAGACAGTTTCACATGTAGCAAGTGAGTCCTGGTATCCTTAAGCTGCTCTTGAAGAAGAAGAAAAAACAGTAGGCTAATAAAAACTAAAATGTTCTTCAGACCCTCTCAGGCAGAGCAAGGCTTTATTAAGTAGGGATTTTTGGACCAATTTCCTGCCCAAAACTGGGTTGTCATTGTGGTGGAAATAGTAAAAACAGATTGATTAAACCTGGTATAGACAGACAATACACTGGAAATAAACATTATTGCGTTACATGACAGCTATCTCAATGATATACTGTGTATACAACAATACAACATTACTCACTTTCCAACCTCACGCCACAAACAAAGCCACCACAGATAAGATACTGTTTTAAATGTCCAATGTTCCAAAGGGCAAATTCTTTTCATTTAGACACAGAAACTGTAAATTGTACACTTCTGGGAAATGACTTGACCAGTCTCCTTCCCCATCTGGCATCCTATTCCCAACATAATGAACATTTGTGACTGGAAGAAAGGGCACGTTATTTATGTAATTGTTCTTTTGTAAAGAAACGCCCTAAAGCAGAACTTTCCCTGTGCATTTCGCACAAGTTTGGAGAGTGAAGTCAAGTATCTTGACACCACGACGTCAACTAATAATAATGTCAGCAGTTTCATTCCATTCATGTATTAATTTCATCCAAATTAGGTGCATTTAACTGCAGGATTTCCTGGTGTGGCACTGAAAATGTGACCATAATTGAACTTCATCATGTGCTCTCATAATCAAGTCCAAAAACTTCCATTATTATTTACTCTCTGTGGAGGAGCTACAGGATTGGTCACTGGATGATATCAGCACAACATTCTTAATTTCTCTGCTTAAACTAAGACAGAGCTGTGACTTACAGCGCATTTTCCCTTTAACTCTCAGTTCAGAGGTGCAGTGTAGTTTTCAGGCTTTTGGAACAAAAAGCTGAGGAATATGCTAATTTAATTTCTAACATGCAGATGAGGGGGAAAAAAGCTTATCTCTTTTATCAGATCGTCCATCTCCACTGTTTCATCATGCATGTCACTCACCGTTGGATGTCCTCCATCTCTCTAACTCACGGTCAATGTAAGTTTTCAAGTAATCGATCAGCTTCCGTTCAACACTGATCGCCTGCTTTACGTTCAGCAGCGACGTGTACATTTCACCCAAAGACAGGGGAATCACAGCTACTGTCAGGAGACCCACTAAACTTAAGAAAACACATGTAGGATACTTCATCTCCAGGGCAGAAAATACACCTCTTCCCTTTCTGCAGATGAGCTCCTCTCTTACTGAACTTTGCTGAGGATCTTTAGAATTTGCAAACGTGCCTCTGAAGTCCACACGGGGGACTCTCCCTCATCTGCTCTGAGATCAGCCGTCAGGACAATTAGTTTCTCAGTACAGCGCGCACCCGGTACGTTTATTTGCACTATAATAACAAGAATACATAAAACTTTATGAGATTTGATTCTTGTAAATACATTATAGAAATTGATCATCATAGTATCATTTATTCACCACTTCCCTTTAACTTTGTTTTTCTGTCATTTGTATTACTTTAAACTGGGTGACTGAGGCAAATCATTTGCTCCCTGGAGTAACTGCGACACCTGCAGGTGAGTGCGTTGTACAATAACCAAACTGCAATTTTAAAACAGTAAATATAAAATATATTTGAGCATTGGAGGGATTGGTGTGGTGAATCTTAAAAAAATGAATTTAAGAGTGCATTTGGATTCTGAGCAAACACTTTGTGCAGTGTTTTGAATAATATATGTGATATCCAAACACAAGTGGTTTTGAGATGTTATGTGCTGTAAAGTAACAAAACAAACCAGTATGCAAGAAATTTACATGTGGCCACTTTAATATCCACCCCTAAATAAACACTTAATTATTTTATAATTAACTTAATAATAGGAATGCACAAAAAATGCAAATGAAAGTATGTAAATGATGTGGTCTCTCAATATCTGGTCAGTATACTGTTGCTTCCTTATGATGGGAAGGGTAAAATCTGATCAAAAATTAAATTGCTATCCTTATTTAGTTTAGGCTTAAATATCAGTAATATAGTCTAATCACAGTGGATTACAGAAGGCCAAAAGCATTAGTGTGCCTGCAGCCCTGCCACACAGGATACCTTAAATTCACCAGCACAATTGTGTAATCATTATTGATGCTGCTGGCACAGAAATAGGGTCACTGTCTGGTTTATGTAACAGCATTAGATCTATAACGCTAAATGATGCCAGTGTGTTCACAAAATTAAAGGGTCATAATTGCTTTCACCGGGCAGCAGTGGGTACCAGGGTTTAATCAATTCATAGTTAATTCTTGTTCAGATATTAGATTTAGTTGTTCTCTTATTTACACAATGTTGTGATATGTAGTGATGTAACATTATTGTACACTCCATTTATGAAGATAGTAAATCTTTTAACAGGGTTAAAGACTTTTTAAGACCTTTTTAATACCAAATAGAATGCAATTCAAGACATGTCTATCATTGCCCACTTTTGGGCAGATAGATTAACCAATTAAAAATGATTAATCCATTTAAGTTTTTGCAAAAATCACTCCCCACACTTACCCATTATGAGACAATGAGCTTCCTATCTACTGTATGTACCAGTATTGACAGTGTTTGCTTGAAGTCTGATGGTGCTGACTGAAACATCTAAAAGCTTCCTTTGTGCACAATCCACTGTCAAAATAATAATAAAAATAAAAAAAATGTGTAACATCTCCCAACATCCTGTAAAGTGATACAAAAACATTTCATACCAACATTACAACAAGCAGGCAAGAAAATATATTTGTTAAATAAACTTAAGACTTTTTAATACCTTCTAAGGCCTTTTTTGTTGAGGAAACTGAACTCTCACTTTTCAAGACCTGCAGATACCCTGTTTAAACATCTCAAATAAACATTTTGACAGGACATTTGTGCATTACGTTGAAGAGCTCTGTCAAAACTATATCAACCACTTCAAGAAGTAGACACATTGTCCTGCAGCTTGCCTCTGACACGGGGTTTGACTTTATTTGAGCAGCAGAGGAATATTCTCCCGATGTAGCCCCTGAGACTCTGATCTCTAAAGCCGTAGATAAGTGGGCTGAGAAAGCGTGGAATTAGCATGAAACAGAAGTAATTAAAAAAGGCAACATCTTGTTGTAGCCAGTTGGCATGCAGCACTATGAGATTTTCAGTGATGGGGCTGGTGAAGGCCAACATGCACAGCAGCAGCTGAAAGCCGTGTAGCAGCACAGTGTGCATGGCTTTGCTCACAGACACTCTGTCTTGTCCCAGCTTCCTGGTTTCCAGCAGGATTCTCACATATGTAAAGAGGATGATAAAAGCCACTACTACAAAGAAGAGAACACTCACAGTAACTTTGAACAATGTCTGGATTGGAGATGAGCTGACAACAATAGTTTTGCAAAGCACAGGAGTAGAGAGAACATCCACAGCAGGATTATGTGCCCCGATGGAGTAGTCAATGATAGGGTAGATACAGCTGATGAGCCACAGGGACAGAATAATGATCCAGATGCGGTCTGAGCGCCAGGCAGCTGGGCGCTGCAGAGGATAGAAGATGGCAACATAACGCTCCAGTGACATGGTGGCCAGGATTAAGGGTGTGTTCTGGAAAGTGGCAGTGGAAATGAACAGCAGAGGAACACAGTAGATAATAGCAAATTTCACCTGGCCCATGGCAAAGAGGAAGAGCAGTACAGAGGACAAGAGCTGGAGGGTATCATTGATCAGCATGTAGGCAAACAGGATGTAACGTGAGGTGTCCAGGAACTGCCTGTGAGATGCAAAGATGTGCAGCATGACAATAATGCAGCAGAGGAAGACGCAGAAAAAGGGGATAACCACACACACCTTGATTATCATAGACAGGTTTTTGAGGGAAGTTGCATTTCCTGGAAATTCAGTCTGATTCTGCATTTTGCAACTGAGGACCGGAGCCAATCTTTTGGAGAAATATGGAGAAATCCACACTGAAATACATCCTCAAAAATACACACCGACAATTTAAGTAGGATTACAATAAGAACAGAATTTAGCTGAATGTGTATTTAATTTAATTATTATTTATATATTAATATTAAAGAACAATATATAAATGATTGAGAGAAAAAACTCATCCACACTTTAAACAGACTATAGATACAGAGCCAACATTCAGAATAAAAGAGCCATTCACTCACCTATGACTGTCTTCATCAACCAGAAGAGTCGACTGAGCTTTAGATTTTCGTTCTTCTTATAATAAAATGTGTCTTCAATGAACAACATGTCTGGGAGGTTCTTTGTTTTATCCAAAGAGTTCGGCCTCATTCAGATCTGTTTGACTCAAATCTCCAGAGATGCATTATTGTCATTCTACGTCATAAAGCATTCTGGGTCTCATTAAGAACAGATTTCAGTGGGAAGATGGGCTCGTGGGTAGATAATCCTTTTGGAAGGGAGCTATTGAACTATAGAAATTGTATTTATAAGTGTTTCACAACTGTCACAACGTATGGCATATAAATAACTTATTGAAAAGTTAAAATAACTTTTTGATCAAAGTGGGTTCTACAAAAAGATATTCAACTGACCTTTGGAAATTCAGCATTTGCAAACACTGAAGACTATATAAATAAAATAAAATTGAATTGAATTGATGTACATACATGTACGTACAGAGGACACTGTATATTATTTTAGATAAATTAAATTAAATTCAAAGAGTATTTGTCAGAACCATTACTGTATATGATCAGAACCCACAACAGAGGTAACGCAACAGAGAGGTATATAATTAATTTGGGGAGGTTTATTTATATAATGGTAGCTTGCTAACAAAGCAAATAAGGGTCAGTTATTGGTCAGTTATCTTAAGTTGGATGGATAGAATGTGGCCAATGTGAAGTTGGTAAGTTATGTGCAGATTTAAGAGTTTAAAACATTATAAAATGAACTACATCAGAATATAAAAAGTAAAAGCTCCTATGTTTTGTCAAAGATATCTATATTGTGTTGCAGAGATATCTACTGATGTTAGCATGCTAACCAGCTAGCCCTGGTCCATCAAGAGGCGAGTCCAAGTCCAAGTCAAGCTCAAGATATGTCTTAGTGTTTTTTGGTCTAATCATAAACTATTTTAGTCCAATCAAAATAAACTCACAAAATGTCAACATTTACTGGTGTAAATAGTCTAGGTTCTGTATTCCTGTCAAACTGGCCTCTGTTGGTCTTAGAGGCTGTGTTCGGTCCTGTTTCAGCTGTGTTCACTGGGCTGCTGAATCCGGTTCTGTTGCCCACTTGCACGGCTCCAGTTCTGGTGCCAATTCATAATTTTTACATCCCCCATGATCAAAAGTGGGCTTGTTTGGTGGAAAACTTTTTAAGTCACTTAACTGAGCTTTTGCCAGATGGAAAAGGGGGAGCTTTACTATTGATTTTTGGCACTGTGGTGATTCTGCTGAGTGTGCGCTTTCAAGTGAGCTGGGTCACTTGTTCCAGCTGTGTCTTGTTCATTGCAGTTTGTGAACCATTGAGCAAACTGTTTTGGCAGCATCCATCAATGCTTTTTACTTTAGTGTGACTGTGAAAATTGCAGTGGCTAAGGAGCTGCAGATGTTACTGTCAGTCTAAAGTCTACTTCAAGATGCGTCGACGACTGTAGGATTACCAAAAGAGGTCCTGGGCCCAATTAATGAAATGTGAAAAGTTTTCTATCTTATATTAGTAATAGGAATCACTATTGCTGTACTATAATACACAATGACTTTTAAGAAGGCATCCGGCTAAGCTACTATCCAGCTGAACACCCTACAATAAGAAGCCACAGCATCGCAGCTCTGCTACAAGTCTGCGCTGCACTGAGATTTTATGCTACTGTTTTTTTGTGTTGTTACTCTTGATGCTGAATTTTACCAGTAAAAGGTCCTTATAATTACTGAAATCTTGCAGAATGCAAATGTTTTTTTGGTGGAGTGAAGGGAGCTGAGCAGTTTGACACTGTTGCTTGGTCATCCATGTTTTTAATTTGAAAAACATCTTAATTTACCCACAATTCATTGCATTAATCCTACTTAAAGGGTTACTTTGTTATCCTGGACCTTATTTTCCCATGTTTGTGTGTGTATGTGACTAATTGGGACAACATTTATTGAAATTGGTCCAGTATTGAGTGAGATTGAGACAGGGCTGCAACATAATCCTTGCAAGCAATTGCCCCCCGTCAAAATACGCCCACTAAAGTGCTTGTTTTTGCCACTGACACAAAAAGTAGGACATTGTAGAAAAGATCCCTGCAGAGATAGACTTTTAGAAGAGTAAGATCCTTTGTTTAACCAGAAAAAATCTAATTCTTGTCAAGCCACCAGACTCCATTGATAAAAACAACAATTTTACCTCACAGCTTTAAGTTGCAGCCCTATCTTGCTGCTACCGAATGCAGAGATCTCATTCAATACATGGTTTCAAAAAATGTTCTCCCAGTTAGTCACATGACAAAAAATCATAGGTAAATAGGGTACAGGCTGAAAAATACCAAAGTTACCTTTTAAAATAGTTTAGAACTAGAAAGAATTTAGATGTCTATCTGAAGTCTGATTATTAGTTTCATTTAAGCCATAGTCACAGTCTATCTTTATAAAACTTGCCTCAGGAGATAATAAAGACTATATCATGTCAACTATCTGCATGTGCTCAAATTACTGTCAATAGACTGTTGATATATGGACTCAGCAATGTTGGTTAAGATAAAGTCCAGACACATAAACAACATAGGTTACTGTCAGATTCAAGAGGATCATGGTTTGAGTCAGGGTTAAAGGACATTGCTCTTAAGATGACTGTAAAAGTCTGTTTGGTTGGACATATGTTTCCAGAGAGAGGGGGGTACATTTTGTTGACAGTCGAAGCAAAGATCAGTACTGTATATTTGTGTTTGCTTGTTATCCTGGAATTATGCTTATTATTAAAACTTGTAAATTGCTCTGGATTAGAGAATCAAGAAAATGTGGAAAATAAAAAACTTTGGGGTGAAATTAAAATGACAAAAAAGAAAAACAGTTGAGTGGGATGCCAAATATTTGAAGCTTTATATCTCAAAACTCTACCAGAATGAACCTGAATCAATCATAAACAAAAACAATCATATACATTTCTATGTCAGTAACAATGGAGTACTGCAACCATAGGTTTGTATGTACTGTACAGTATGTGTAAGGCTGCTCAGATTGATGTCAGTAATCACAGTAGAGAGGTAACTTGCAAGTGTTTTTGAAGAAGATGATGAAACCTACAAAGAGATGTTTCTGTAGTTTAAACAATTAGTTTGAATGTGCAGCACTGGCATGTGGTAGACTACTGTGCGATATCTCCGGAGCACAGTTAGAAAGCAGGTCTCAAATCCCCTGTTCAGTAATTAACAGACTGGCTGATTATTAACGTAAAGCTCCTAAGTCTAATTGTGCAATCTTTTTCATTTATTTGGCAAACAAGTTGACTCTGTTGAGCAGCTCTCTGGGGCTCACCGGCTCTTTACGTAAATTCTGCGTCAGTAATCGGGACTGCAGGGGACTGGACCAAAATCTGTGTCCAAAACAAACGTTCTGCCCCAGCAGAACCACCTCAGCAACTTTACTATATCAACAACAAATTTAATAAGCAGGTGAAGGTATAGACCTAACAGTGTACCTAATATAAATAATAATTTTTTCATCAATCAACATTTTTTTCTGACAAAGAAATCACAAATTACTCAGAAATACATTTATTTTGATCAATGACACAGTAAGGGGTATTTAAATAAAAGAGGAACAAAAAATATAAATGAATGAACTGTAATAAATAGAATAATAATAATAATAATAATAATTAATAGCAATTATTAATTAACAGCAGCAAATGAAAAATAAAATTTTAATTTTTCAAATAAATTAATCATAATCAGGTTGCAAACTTAATTTTACTAAGCTACCTACCTACATTTTCTTCTTGTTGTGTGCCAGGAAGAGGAGTTAAGTATTTTCAGTTTAAAGGGAACTTCAGGTCTTGTTCAGGATTTAGCTAGCCTTTGAGAATCAGACTTCACACATTCATTCTCAGTCATTTCTTTTACCCAAGCCAAAGAAGGCTTTTCATCTCAAGAAAAAAACCCTGAGGCCTTACATGAGAGGACTCAGACATCCTGGAGCAAGATTAAACATTATAGTTAAAAGTATCTGACTTGAATAAACAGAATAAAATCAGTCTGGGAGATGAGAAGAGTGGTTTACAGAAAACATGAGATAAGGAAAAGGCTGGTCAATAGCCAAGACAAAGCAAAAGATCCCTGACCAAATTAATATGTCATCTCACTTGTCCCCTCAGGATTGACTCCTGCCAAAGTCTTTGTATGATTAGGCTGCGACATTCTGAACACAAGTGCTAATTGCTCAATTGGCTACAGAAGTGCTAGCCAAGCCCCCTATTAATTAATAACGCCCATTGAGTATAAGCTCATGGCCATCTGCAAGGTCCACGTCTTGGTGTCAAGCATCAACAAAGCTTGTAATATAAACCCTCCCTGGGACTTGATTTAATATTGTGATACAGTTCGAACCCACACCAACAAACATTAAAGGTCCTTAATTTTTCAAAAAAAAAAAATTTTGTCCTCAAATCAAACTGGTCCTCTTTTTTATGCGTACACAAATAACAGCAAGGCAGAGAGAAAGAGAGACAAAGAGAGAGGGGAAAGAGGGAAAGCTGCACGTAGTTGCTTTATCAGTGGGCTTTTTTTCAGATAAAGCCAAATACGCACATTTGCTGGCACAGTCAACAGATCAATACCTTTTACGTAATAATATGTTGCCGGGGCCTTACAAATACCCACAGGACACGCCAGTTGGTCATCGTCCAGCAGACTGAAAGATTGCATGCAGCGAACAAGATTATTTCTCAGAATTTACAAAGACGGGGTAACAGTGAATGGACAGCAGATTAGTTTCAGTTGTTGAAAACAGAGAACCTACATTCAGCTCCTCATTTTAGATGTATCATATCAAATAGGATTCTTCAAGGGCAGAAGTTAATCTGCAAAATGCAAGCCGTTCGCCAGTGTTCAGTATGTACCAGCCGTGTTGCTGGAGGACTTCTGCGAAATCAGACGGACATTTCCCTGCTGCACACCAACAAGAGTGTGCTTAGGAGAGGAGCAGCCTGTATCCGTTTCCTAAGGTAGGTTATATGCAATGGCATATACTAAGCAGTTGGAACATAGCCTATAGAGCTGTTCCTCTTGACATTTTGGGACTGCCAGAATGTAGCCTGAGTTTCTAGAAAATGTATTATGTCAAATGCTATGCAATAGAAATGTAAGTTACAGTCAACATGTGTGTAAATGGCAATTAACGTAAGTTTCAGCAGCTTGTGTTTAAACATTTTCAACATTTCCATGCAGTTAGATTAATTCAGGTTTGACTTCTCATATCACCTGTAGATTTGGCTGGCAATGTTATAACTCACAATACTACAACTAAAATACCATCTATCACTGTAATAACGTGAGTATATTCTGTTCTATTTTTTCTAACGCAGGTCTGAGAGTGTCCTACTCAGCAGGAGGAAGCCTGGAGTTCAGAAGTTGGGAGAATGGACAGATACTTTGCACATGAGCATAGCATCTCTAAGTGTTGGCCATGGGCTTTCTGGTATACATTTTACACAGGTGGGTCTCCTACCAGAGACAGTATTACATACATTTATAACTAAGTACGCGCACCAGCCCAATGAACTGAAACTGCACAAATTGTTTGTCTCTTCGGATAAAGTTTGCTCTTGTTCTTCATATTTTGTACTTGGAAAAACTGAGGGAAGGAGTTAAAATACTGAATTTCCCTCTTTGTTTGCAGCAAGTGGAAAACCTCTCTCATGACTCCCTGATCAAAAGAGCAGCCTCAGTGGTTACAGACAGCTCAAGTACTTTCCTCTCCCAGACCACCTTGGCTGTCATAGATGCCATTACAGACTATTCGAAGGTAGTTTTTCATCTTATGCGAAAGAGTCACAGGAGTAAATCACAAAATCTGTTCTAGGCATTTATGGAGAACAGTAACATTGTGAAATTAACTGTCATCAATCATGTGTTATTAACATTATGTAAGGCAGATAAAAACTACTGTAACGTTATTATTTTAAAAATGACCCTGCACTGTCTCTGACTGTCTGTCCTCCCTCTGTTTACAAAAAGGCTGTGCACACACGCATCGCTGTCCAAAGGCGGTATTTAGCCTCACTGGGAAAGCTGACCCCAGCAGAGCGGGATTCATTCCTGGAAGTGATCAATAGCCAGCGTGCAGAGGTTAGTTTGTATTGTCCTCTCTGGACACAAATTGTTGAAATCAAACCTAAATGTACTCTAGCATTCAGTTTCCTGTTAAAATCAGCTTTTACTCTTTGCAAAACAGTAAAAAAAAATTTATTAAATTTATTATTTATTATATTGTTTGTCTTTTGTCTTTGTCCTAACAGATTAGTGACAGACTAGCTCAATGCAAACGCTTTGAATCAAGCTGGATCAACGCTGTCAACTTGTGTAAAATGGCAGCTGAGGTAGCATACACTTCAGGTTAGTAAAATGGGTACCCGAGTGCAGCTGTATTTCTAATGATTGAATAATGAATAGATTAAAATCCTATTTTCCTTCGGTCTGTGTTACATTTTGTTAAATGTACAGATCACATGCTCAATAGATCTTAATTTAAAACAAAATGGATTTAGTGGACAGGAGTGCCTTCTTTAGGTCCACATCTAATGTTGCAACTGAAATTTGACAGAATGCATGTTTGTGTCTGTGTGTTTCCAGGAGCCGAGCAGGCATCCATCGCAATGAGAACGAACATTCAGGTGGCCCAGTCACAGGTGGAGGAGGCACGGAAACTATCAATGGATGCAGATAAGAAGTTGGCGGAGACTAAAGTAGAAGAGATCCAAAGGATGGCAGAATATGCTTCCTTCCGAGCTGATAGTGAGGAGCATGAGGTGCATGAGGCTTATCTACGAGAAGACTAAGACAAATAGAAAGAGATATTGGAAAACAGTAAAAAACGAACAAAACAAAAGAAAGCTTTCACCTTTGAAAGCTTTGACCTTTCTGTTTTATTCCCCTTTTTGAGCCTGTAAGATGTTTACATGTTTGCTTTACACAAAGAAAATTTAATTTGAAAAGGACTGAAATAAATTACCAATAATTGGTAATTCTTTACAATTGCATAATTTATTATTTAAGACTATTTTTCTATTAGTGAATGTCAACTGCTTTTGGAGCTTCTGGAAAGTGATTATCAAATCTCCAGTGTGGGCAGTGGGGTTTATCTAACATCGGATCACAATGTTTATTGTATGTTTGGTTGTAACAAAGACACTTTTTATGAAACTGTTTGCTTCATTGTTTTTTCACTGTTCACATAATAGAAAAAATAAAACTCACTATTTGATTTAAGATCCAGTATGTGCTGATGTGTGCTTTGAAAGGTAGCCTAAAGATAATGACGTATGATTGCAGCATTATCAGCTGCCTTTTATGTACATAAAGTGTAATCTATGACAAGCCGTGAACTATTAACCTTCAGATGAGGCAGGCCTTAAAAGGTGAAGGCAACTGAATGTTTCTTCAACTTCATTGATTTTGACATTCTCCACCAGAGAAAACGCAAACAGCCTCAGCTGACTAATCACAGTTCTTGCTGTCTCCTCGCCGTATCTCCATAGTTGGAGTATCCACACCCACTGACATATAGTTAGTCTGAAGACTAACTATATGTCACTGCTCTACCTTATTGCTCTTATTGTTTTTAATCAAGGGTCAGCATTTAAATGCCCCTGCCTCTGCCTGCTCCCGCTTGGCACTGAACTAGATCTCTATACTTAGCCTTGATAGTTCACTGAGCTGCTTCTTTTCCAGAGTTGCCCAGTGAAGATGCAGATCCACAGAAGCCTTTGAATCACTCTTAGTGTGACCGTTCACTTAGGACCAGGGCCGGTATTTATCAAGCTTCTCAAAGTGCAATTTTTGTCTTAAGAGCTGAGAATTCATGAAATTTACTCCTACTTTTAAACTTAAGAATAAAAGCAAGTTATCAAATTTCTCAAAGCTAAGAATCACTCTTACTCTCCCAGTTATTTAAGACAGACTCAAGAGGTCTCTCAGGTGGTTAGGAGCTGCCAGTAGGGCTTGTGATGGCGCTGTGGAGACATAGACGCATCTTTCAGGAGAGGAAGAATGTATGTGAATTTTTTGACGACGCGCAGTTAATAAGACGGGGTCGGTCAGGGAATGGGTGAGAGACGTCATCTCACCACTGACTTTACACAGTAATGCGTTTTCAGTTAAACGACAGCTCCACACAACAACACCCCCATAATCCGACAGAAGCAAACACAGTTCATGCAAATAGCCGGCAATACAGGAGCAGTAGGCGCATTTGATGGCGCTCATATAAAGATAAACTTTTTTATCTTTCATTTATTAATGTATTATCTCGAAAATTCTTTATTGTTAAACGTGTGTTGAATATAAACTCCACTTAGGAATTTCACCGTTCGATGTGAATTTATCTGAGAATATTCTTAAATAAGGAAATCTATTCAGTGATTGGTCCTTGGCGACATCGTCATCCAAAATCCTGTTTGCGGCACAGCAAAGTGTTGTAAATCAGCACTAAGACTGACACTTAAGATTTAGTCCTACACTTCACTCAAATTAGGACTACGATGTTTGATAACTAACTTTTAAGCACAGCTTTGAGCCAAGATTTTTTTTTACTCTTAAGTCAGTTTTTAGCAGTGTTCTCATGAGTAATTCTGAGAAGCTTGATAAATACGGGCCCAGGGCTGGTATTTATCAAGCTTCTCAAAGTGCCCTTTTTGTCTTGAGTGCTAAGAATTCATGAAATTTACCCCTTACTTTCAAACGTAAGAATAAAAGCAAATTATCAAATTTCTTAAAGCTAAGAATTGCTCTTACTCTCCCAGTTATTTAAGAAAGCTCGAGAGGTCTCTCAATCAGAAGAATCAGAATCAGAAGGAGCTTTATTGCCAACTAGTGTTTTACACATATGAGGAATTTGCTGTGGTGATAAGGTGCTACATGTAGACAAACATACAGTCAACATAATAAATGTAGAAATTGTAGTGAACAACGGTGTGGAATTGTGGAATATAATATAGCAAAATATTTTGTATAAAATTTGAGCAAATAAACAGGAGTCCCAAATTAATGTCTTGTCTTTTTTATTATTTTGTGCTGTCTTATATTTTAGGTAGCAGAATTTGCTATCTAATAAATAATGAATTTAATGGGTTCCAATTCTTGGAATGAGTCATTATTTTAAAATAGGACATGTGATTGACATGTTTAAGACGTAAAACTGATTTATGGCTAACCAAACATGACTAAATTATAACAACATTTTTGTCTCCTAAACACTCAATATGTTGGCTATTTTTAATGTGACAGCAGGTGTCATTCACTGTAGTGCACATGTACACTTTCTGTATGTTTTGCAAAGTGTTAAAAGGGGTATGGTGGTGTGAGTGGATGAATGTTTGTGAAGGGTTTTTCCTCTGTATACATTTTCTTTAATTTTTGCAGTCACTGCAAAGGATACTATTACCATATTATATATATTTACTATTTTATATTAACAGCATAGATAACAAATGTATGGCATAAACCAAACATTTGCCACGTCTGTTGCTAGATATGA